ATCTACTGGTAAAAACCAGCCTAGAGCACCGTCTACTGGTAAAAACTAGCATAGAGAGTAATCTACTGGTAAAAACCAGCCTAGAGCGCCGTCTGCTGGTAAAAACTAGCCTAGAGTGCCATGTACTGGTAAAAACTAGCCTAGAGCACCATCTGTTCTTAACCAATAGCCTAGAGCGCCATCTGCTGTTAACATCTAATGCAAGAGATTTTGAGGAATGTTGGAAACCTGCAGAAGTCAATGGTTACAGGTTTCCAACATTCTTCCAAAAATCTTTTTTTGAGTTCCACAGAAAAAAGAAACTCAGATTTGTGACTAAATGATGACAGAATATACATTTTTGGCTGAACTGTCCCCTTAAGTTGTAGTTAATTTTTTGTTTCGTACATTAAATCTGATTTTTAGCTGAAAATGCGATTAATTGTGATTCATACATGCAAGTCGACAGCTAACAGCATCAAATAAAATCATATACAGGCAAAATAAAGGAAGTAGACATAGTTTCTGATAAAACATTGAGGTTCTGTGAATCTACCTTATTGATCTCTGCTGGAAAATAAACATTATTTGCAAATGTATTAATCCTTAATCCATAACAAACTGATTTAAACACACTCAGGACTGTTTGACAAGATTAATATTGTTAATTATGTTCAGTTTCTTGCACAGATTGATCATTTCTCTTCATAAGATTTCAGTGTATCAGTAAGAGCCACAGGTATTACTTTTGATTTGCCTTTATGGGCTTTTTGTGACTCTCAAAGTACCTGTAACCATTGACTTGCATTACAGAAATAATCAGTTTCATCTAAAAACAATCAACATGATTTATGTTGAACTCAAGAAAAATTGACCAACATTTTGTTCAACCTGCAGATAGAGTAACAGCAGTTTAGTATTTTTAGTTGTACTGTCCCTTTAAGGATACACATATTTTCCACGGTTGAAGAATTGCAATGCATTAAATAATGTCTATATTTTGTATTTAATGTAATTCAAGGCTACAATTAAGAATTAAAAGTGATGCACAAAGAAATGCATGAATCATGAGGATACATTTATATTGAAATATTGCATAAAACAACCTGTAATAAGCAAATAATTCAGCAAAGTAAATGGTTTGATTTGAATATGAGCATAATAATAGTTTTCTGACTTTGACTCTGCTTGTGTTTAATGAATGAAGCTCATTTAAGCCACAAACTTACCCAAAACATCCAGAGTTTTGCTTTATTATTATGATTTTTTAATAAAAACACTGAAATAAAGAACACGTGTAGTAAATCTGCTTTCATTTATTTGATAAATGATGCACGTTTTACCTTAGGAAACCATAAAGCTCCGTGTCTTAAATACAATAAAATAAAAAACCATTTCAAATCACAAAGATCAGCTTAGAAAAAAATGCAAATATATATAAAACACATCATTCAAATGCATCATTGCTTTCTGCAGCAAGTGTTTGTGAGATTGATGTAGAAGTCCAGCATAGTTTGAGGTATTAAAGTTGTGTTTTCTGTTCTCACTGGGTCATTAGTTTATTGCTACAGACTGTAAAATGTTTAAGGCCACAAAAATAATCACAAAGTTAAAGACTGGATATTAAAAGATTTACTCCTCATTTACTCACAATCAACTTTCTTTATTCTGATGAACACAAAAGAAGATTTTATTTACATTTATTTAAGATAAGATACATTTTTGTCTCATTTCTAGCCCAAAAATAAATAAAAATAACACACCAGGAATCATTTGCCAGACAAATAAAAGTGTTTGTTTTCAGAATTAATTAGTCAAAATAAAGTGTGTTTTTGCTTAAAAGTTTTGCTAGAGCGCCATCTACTGGTAAAAATAGCCTAGAGCGCCGTCTGCTGGTAAGAAAACTAGCCTAGAGCACCGTCTGCTGGTAAAAAAACTAGCCCATAGTGCCATCTACTGATAACAACTAGCCTAGAGCGCCGTCTGCTTGTAAAAAACTAGCCTAGAGTACCGTCTGCTGGTAAAAAAACTAGCCTAGAGTGCCATCTACTGATAAAAACTAGCCTAGAGCGCCGTCTGCTGGTAAGAAAACTAGCCTAGAGCACCGTCTGCTGGTTAAAAACTAGCCCATAGTGCCATCTACTGATAACAACTAGCCTAGAGCGCCGTCTACTTGTAAAAAACTAGCCTAGAGTACCGTCTGCTGGTAAAAAAAACTAGCCTAGAGTGCCATCTACTGATAAAAACTAGCCTAGAACGCCGTCTGCTGGTAAAAAACTAGCCTAGAGCGCCGTCTGCTGGTAAAAACTAGCCTAGATCACCATCTGCTCTTAAAAACTAGCCTAGAGCACCGTCTGCTCTTAAAAACTAGCATAGAGTGCCATCTACTGGTAAAAACTAGCCTAGATCACCATCTGCTCCTAAAAACTAGCCTAGAGTAACGTCTGCTGGTAAAAAAAACTAGCCTAGAGTGCCATCTACTGATAAAAACTAGCCTAGAGCGCCGGCTGCTGGTAAAAACTAGCCTAGATCACCATCTGCTCTTAAAAACTAGCCTAGAGCACCGTCTGCTCTTAAAAACTAGCATAGAGCGCTATCTACTGGTAAAAACTAGCCTAGATCACCATCTGCTCCTAAAAACTAGCCTAGAGCGCCATCTGCTGGTAAACACTAGCATAGAGCGCCATCTACTGGTAAACACTAGCATAGAGCGCCATCTACTGGTAAAAACTAGCATAGAGCGCCATCTACTGGTAAAAACTAGCCTAGAGCGCCATCTGCTGGTAAAAAACTAGCCTTGAGCGCCATCTAATGGTACAAACTAGCCTAGAGCGCCATCTAACGGTAAAAACTAGCCTAGAGCACCATCTGCTCTTATCTGGTCAAATTAATCTCATTCCAAACCAAAAATAAAATCATTTTACTTGTAAAGACAAACACTTAATTTTGACTTCATTTATTATTAAATTATTTAAAATAATTTATAATAAATTATTTATGCATTTATTTATTATAGATTATTTCTGAAAAAAATAATACAATATTTTAATGTAAACAAAATAAACAATATTAACAATTCATTGTAATGTAAACAATAGACATATACAAACAAAATTAACAACTCAATTTAATTGTACAATAGACGCTTCTTGAGTTAAGAATTTTTAGATATGTGAACTAGAAATTAGACAAAAACTCTTGAGAAAAAAAAAAGACTTATTTTTGCAGGTTCCCTCCTATTATTGGATCAAAGTATCTCTATTAAAGTATTTATGTGGAAGTCAATGGCTGTCATTCACTGTCATATCATCAAAATACAAAGAAACAAGAGTGTGAGTAAATGAGAGGTCAATAAACCTTGATTTTTAAGTGAATGCTCCCTTTAAGTGTGAACCAGCAGTGCAGTTTTCTCCCTGTATCCTCCATACCTGTCTGAATGTGTCTCATCTCAGGATCTAAACCTGTTTCTGCTACACGGCCAGACCGAAAGACAGGCGAAAGGCCATTTCCACAGGAACCTCTGCCACAGAGTCATGAAAACACACATAAAACTCCTGAGGAACGGGTTCAAGGAGCATCCGCCTGCAACACACACACACACACACACACACACACACACACAGCTGATCAGAGTTGGAAAATACGCTGATGTTTTCATATTAATGTATGCGATTTAGTCAATTATGATGAGAGTGTGCTTTTGTACATTTTAATGAAAATAGCAGCTAATATTTGATTTTTAAAAATTCGTGCTTGTTTGGAAACAAGTTTTAAAGTGTCCCACTTATTAGTACAGGAGTGACATCTGAAAATCACCTGCAGTTTGCATCTTAAATACAAAAACATTTAAAAAAACAAACAATTTGTCCAAACATTAATTAGTGTTTATATTTTGTTTTAGCAAGCTTTATTTATTTAACATTTTATTTAAAGAAATCTATATTTTTACTCTTTTTTTTCCTTTTCTTTTGTCCCCCGTGTTTCATTTAGGGATTACTGCTATAAAAACACCTCAATTGTTTAAAGGTGCTGTATGTAAGTTTGACACCCAGTGGCTGAACTAGGTATTGCACGCCTGGTTCAAAACACGCAAGCGCAGGTTGCCAGATTGACTATCGAGCCTAAAGGCTGATTTAGCCCAGGTTGACAGCAGTGGGTAATGTTGTGCATTGTCTTTCCACCACTTGAGAGGACAAGCCATGAGTGAGATAGAGGTCTCTTTGCGGTACAAGTCAATGTCTGCATCAGTCTGAACAGTATGCTGTGTTCTGCAGTCCCCATGACTGTTTTTAGTCGTATTCCCTGACTTATATTTCACCACAGTCTGGCAGTGCCTGCATACTGTTTTTTTTATTTGTCTGTCACCTTTTTGTCCTTTTTCGTATCTTTTTAGAAAGAAACCGAAATGCTTCCACACATCCGATTTAAAACCCGCTTTAGGTTCGATCATTTCCAGCTCTTTTTCTTACCCACTACTAGCAGCACACTCTATTTCCGCATTACTGGATCTGTAGTGACAACAGACCGCAAAGAATGACGGCCAGGCCTAGGCTGATGGGAATTGTAGTTCCCACTACCTCCCGTTCGCTTCATTCGCCTGAGCAAACTTTTCTCAGAAATATAGTTTTATTGAGTCATGCGCCTACGCTAATATTGAACAAAATTACTATTGCGGTATGACGGTATTTACAATATTGTTACATCCCTAGTCGTGGCTGAAATATGAACTGCGTCCCGAGTCGTGGCTGGGCGTTGTCAACTTGCGGCGGCGGTGTGTGTACCCTAATAGAAACCTAGGTTTAGAATTCTAAAATGCATGGCGTGGCGCGTAGCAGAGCGGCACTTCTGTTGTGCGACCTGCTTCATACAGAGAGTGAACCAAAGCGCATTGGTGCAGTTATAATGTATCTAATATTTTTATTTTAAAAATCGCGACATCTCTATTTAATATAAAACTAAATCGTCTTAAAACGTAAATTTTAATTAATCGGAAAAAAAAAAAAAAAAAAAAAATCGCCCAGCCCTAATATCAACACATTTAGATCATTTACTGTAATCATTCCTATTTGACTGTGAAGAGTCTTTCAACCAGCACAACAAAACATGTTTATGTAGACAATCACCTGCTGCACCTTTAATCACATCATAAGCCTTACCATTGCGCTGGAGTGCAGCGAGGGCACTATTCTGTGCTTCTGAATGACTGCATTTATGTTTCTGTCTTGTTTCCTCTGGTGCAACAAGCCAAATTGCTCACCACCCTTCAGCCTAATTGGTTTTATTTTGGCTAGAATAAAAGCAGTTTTTAATTTTTTTAAACTATTTTAAGGTCAATATTATTAGCCGCCTTAAACAATATTTTATTTTGATCGTCTACAAAACAAACCATCATTATACAATGACTTGCCTAATTACCCAAACCTGCCTAATTAACCTAATTAAGCCTTTGAATGTCACTTTAGATAGATAAAAGATAGGAATAAATAAGTTATTATAAACGAGTTATTAAAAGTATAATGTTTAGAAGTGTGTTGAAAAAAGTCTTCTTTATGTTCAACAGAAACTGGGGAAAAATATACAGGAGGGCTAATAATTCTGACTTCAACTGTATCAATCTGTGTGTGTGAGATGCTGTACCCGATCACCCAGTAGGTCATGGTCGGCGCTGGTTTCTTCTGATCGGTCCAGTTCTGGGGTTTGCATTGAAACAGGACTCCGTGCTCTTTAACGGGACCTAAACCTGCAGTGCTCTGCCGCTCCGGCCCTCGACGATCCTGACAAACACATCAACAAACCATCAGGCAATATAGCGTTCAATCATAACAAATAAAAATGTAATTATTTATAACTTTGTAGTGAGTTTACAAATAGGTCGACTTATATTTGATGCATTTTAATAATAAGCAAAAATTAAGTAGGAATAATTCATAAAAATAATGAATAACTTGATAAGTGGTTTACATTTGGCTGTCTGAAAAGTAATTATGAAATGTAATTATTTGACTCATTTATTAATTCATTTTCCCTCAACTTAGTCTCTTTATTCTTCAGTGGTCACCACAGTGGAATGAACCATCAACTTATCCAGCATGCGTTTTAAACAGCGGATGCCCTTCCAGCTGCAACCTATTACTGGGAAACACCCAAACACATTCACACACACACTCATACACTACGGCCAATTTAGTTTATTCAGTTCACCTATTCACCTTATTCTTCGCCGACGAGCGGGGGCAGCCATTTGAATCTTCTTGGTTCGAGACTTCCGGTCTCATTCACTTCCATTCATTTTTAGACATTAAAAACTGCTCGTTTTGCTGTTTGATGTTGCAAACTGATATTTCCTCATTATATTATTCTACTTGGTCTGTATAGTCATGCAAACATTTGTTTGTAGAGCAAGTAGTTTGACCGTTTTCTGCCGTTTATGATTCCTAGTCATGTCTCCCATAGGCGACTGAATTGGAAGTTCTAAAACAATCGCGAAAACAGGCGCACTTCCGCATTTTAGAATAAGGTCAATAGCGCATGTGTTTGGACTGTGGGGGAAACCGGAGCACCCGGAGGAAACCCACGCCAACACAGGGAGAACATGCAAACTCCACACAGAAACGCCAACTGGCCCAGCCGGGACTCGAACCAGCGACCTTCAGCTGTGACTTGACAGTGCTAACCACTGAGCCACCATGCCACCCTATCTACTTTTCTTCCATATTTAGTTTCCTATCTTATTGTAGATTCAGCAGTAGGTTAATCTGCCATTCTGGGGTCTTTTATGCAGAGAAATCTCCTCAAGTCTTTCAATAATTATGCATTCAAAAGTTTCCAAGCATGTCTTTATATAAGTCCACATTATTGTTGCAGATAAAATATAACATGGAAAATGATATTTAAATATATTCCAGTGGGCTAGATATTAATTAATAGTCATTTGAACAACTTTACCGAAGCCTCTCTACTTGACGGTTGGTCTCACACATCCGCCATGTTTGTAGTTTATTTACATTTATTCCCTAAGTTTGTAGTTCTTATCGAATTCACATCCAACATGCAATGTATTGTGGGCAATATTAGCGGTTAGAGTATGGACGCTTCTACACTTTTACTTTTACTACACTTTTTACCGAAAATAGTAGACCATTCAGGAACCGTTGGTGTACTCTTTCCAATATGTTATGGTTTGGGACATGCACTACCCGATAAAAGTCATGTCATCGATTCGCAGTTGTAAGAGCAACAAATAACAACTTGACTTCTAGTTGATCATTTGGCAGAAGGTGGATTTCTCTGATGAATCATCTGTTGATCTGCATCCCAGTCATCACACATACTGCAGAAGACCTACTGGAGCCCACATGGACCCAAGATTCTCTTACAAATCAGTCAAGTTTGGTGAAGGAAAAATCATGGTTTGGGTTTACAGTACAAACCACAGGAGAGGGCAAAGTCTCCAGCAGGACAGCGCTCCTTCTCATACTTCAGCCTCCACATCAAAGCTCCTGAAAGCAAAGAAAGTCAAGGTGCTCCAGGATTGGCCAGCCCTGTCACCAGACATGAACATTATTAAGCATGGCTGGGGTAAGATGAAGTAGGAGGCATTGAAGATGAATCCAAGTCTTGATGAACTCTGGGAGTCCTGCTTTCTTTGCCGTTCCAGATGACTTTATTAATCAGTGATTTGAGTCATGTCAGAGATGTGTGGATGCAGTCCTCCAAGCTCATGATGGAGTCAGACACAATATTCATTCTGTTTCCACTGCAGCATGACTTTATATTCTATACTGGACATTATTTCTGTTCAGTGACGAGACTTTTGTCTAAGCAAAGTCAGACTTTACTGTCCTAATTAAATCCATACCTGTCAACATTGGACTGAGAAAATAAGGGATATGCCCACCATAATAAGGCAACCCCCCCCCCCCCCTTTAAAAAAAATCCTTAAATTACTAAATATGTTCATTTGGAGCTGTTTCATCGTAAATAAACTGTTAAATGGGCAGTAATATGTTTCAATATTTACAAAAGAAAAATAAATATATACATTAGCAGCAAATACATTAGCAAACAGTTCAGCTTTTGAAAATGAATAGCTCTTATAATGAAACAGAATCAAGCTATCAACCTCATTAGCCGTTTCTCCACTGTATGACTTACACATTCTGATTAAAGACCAACGAATGAATCTCTCATTTATTAAGATTTTTTTTTATTACATTAAATATGAGGTGTCACTTTAAAAATGCACACATCTAACGTTATAATGAAAGCATTTGACTGCTTTCCTAACTTTTTATGCTCATTTACGACGAAATTAGTTGTGTTTGGAAAAAAAAACCCCACCAAGATCGACATCCTTGTATGTTATTATTATTAATTATGTGTATATGTCTGTTTAAACACGCACCCAAAAGCCAGACTTTCTATACATTTGGGAAACAGTAACTGTTTACCACTATGGAGCTCGTCAGCTGACAGTCACGCACCATTATATGACAGTTTTGAGGATTGTTTAGGATGGGCGACGGCACCTGTATTTAAAAGGAAATGGAATCGAGCCGTTTTTAATATTTATTTATAAGTGTTTTCATTGCCAAACAAATCAAAAGCACAGAAGATTCACGTTTTAGACTAAAGGGCGACCCCTGGTGGTTCGGCGGTATGGGTATGCATACAGGTAGGCTCGGCTGTTTACAGAAAGACTGAAAATATGGGAGAAATACGGGAAAATACCTTTACGGGATGATAGCGGGATAGAACAATAAAATACGGGAGAATCCCGGGAAAAACGGGAGGGTTGACAGGTATGATTAAATCATCTTTCATATAAGCCACTTCTGATACTAAATGATCAACTAGAAGTGAAGTTATTATTTGTTGTTCATAAAACGTGAATAGACGACAAGATTTTTGTCAGGTAGTGACTGATTCTATTTTCGAATACCATTTAGGATGGACAGTATGCGAATCGGCAGGCAGCAAGTGTGATTGTGGGTCGTTACCCGTGTGGGAAGGCTCTGCTGGAAGGCCTGGCGGATGGACAGACAGCAGTGCTGGAAGTTGTGGATGAGCTGCGGGTGGATGGAGCCGCTCAGATGACGGATCTCTGTGTGTGTGGGAGCGATAAAGATGCCCTGCACCGACTCCATCAGCACATAGTGGAAGAGTGTGTTCTCCACACCCGCCGTCACTCTGACACACACACACACACACAACAGCATAAACAAACAAACAACAGTATAAACGCACACGCACAACAGCATAAACATACATATAAACACACACCACAATATAAACACACACAGTAGCGTAGTAATAGAGTGTGTAGTCAGTTTGACTCACTGCAGGACGTTCTGCATCTCCTCTGTCTCTCGCTCGCTCAGACTCTTCCTCAGAGAGCCCAGATAAAACGGGTTCGGATGCTTTAACCTGGGCATCTGCAACAACACAAAACAACTCAAATACATTTAAATCTGCAAACAGATTAACAAATAAATTAAAATTTTATATACACAGTACCGGTCAAAGGTTTGGGGTCAGTAGGATTTTTTAATGTTTTTGAATAAGCTTCTCCTGCTCACCAGGGCTTCGTTTATATAAAGGGCACCAAATTTAACCACTTTTCAAAGTTCAAGATACGTCTTTTGTGCCCCCAGAATGTGTTTGTAAAGTTTCAGCTCAAAACACCCATCAGATTAGTTATTATAGCTTTTTAAATCTGGGAAATGTGCGATGTTTTAAGATTATAGCTGTTTTTGTTGCCTGTGCCTTTAATGCAAATGAGCTGGTTCTCCCCGCCGACCGTTTCTACGTGCGTTTCACAGCCGTAACCTCCATGTAAATAAACAGCACAGTGACAAACAAGAATAAAGCAGATCTCCCTTACTACAGTAAGAACTTTCCCAATGCTTATTTGATGTTTTTGTTGTACAGTTAATTTAAGCCCATATAAAGGTTATATCCACTGCTGTATGGACATCGTTAAGTTAATGTACAGAATAAACCTGATTTAAGTCCGCAAACCGGGATTAAAAGGTCTTCTTTTATAATTGTAACTGACATGTGCCTGTGGTAATGAATTACGTATCTTTATTACAAACATGCACTGTTTTAAAACCGTTTTAAACTCATTCTTGATCACATTTGATGATGATCGATGATTACACCGAGCTGAACAGATCTTTTAATCCTGGTTGCTTTGCGCAAGTCCTGTCTTGTTGATATGATTACATGCATTACTACGGAGACATGTTAATTTGTGGCTGACAATCAATTTGGTTGGCAGGGAAACTGCACTCCTACATCACGTTGCGGTGTGCCTTAAAATGGGAGGGATTTGGATGATATTTTAACGTCAGGAAATTAAAAAAAGAGACTTATTGTCTTTCTATCAGCCCAATATGACTGTGGACACACTATACCTATAAACAGTTCTGTCCAAACAGCTTACAAAAGATGATTTTCATCATAGGTGCCCTTTAAACAAAAATACAGCACACAGTGTAAAATTGTGAAATGTTATTGCACTACAAAATCTGTTCAAAAGTAGTTTATCATTTAGTTTAATGATTGATTCCAGTGATTTTAAAGATGAATTTTCAGCATCATTCCTCCAGTCTTCAGTCACATGATCCTTCAGAAATCACTTTAATATTAATTATTATTTTTATTATTAATATTATTAATGGCAATAGCAATAAAAGCAACGATGATTGCAGTAATAATATTTAATTTGAAACTACATACAATAAGAAAGCAGTTATTTAAATTGTAATAATTATTTAACAATTTTTTTGAACATCTTATAAATGCCACCTTGAAGAGAATAATTCAATAAAAAACATTAAAAATAAAAAAGTACAAATAAATTATAACAATATCTACATAGAAACTACTATACGTAAAATTAAAAAAATCTGATGATATAAAATGTGGATATAGTGTGTATACATTTTTACAAACTTTACATATTCTAATATGTTCTATAAATAATGCTGTTTTTTTCTGCATTATCAAAAGTTATTGACTATTCAAGTTATATATATTTTTTATCAGTATTACAAATGTATTATTTATCTTCTGGATGATTTTGAGATGTAAATAAAGAGTCTGACTGTTTCAATATTAGTCAAACTGCCAGTCATGAACAATAAACAACATCAGAAAAACACCTTGAGAAATCCCAAAACTGCTAAATAGCCCTTGGGAAATATTTAAAAAAGAAAAATGTCAATAATAACATTATTGAGATAATAAGAAATAATAAAGATAGCAATATTTAAATATGAAAAAATATACATAATATTAAGAAATAAAATAATAATAAATTAAAATGATCAGCATTATCATAAATTATTGACCATTTACATGGTATTTCTTTTTATTTATGCATATTATAAATGTATTATTTATCCTTTGGATGATTTTGAGATGTAAATATAGAGTCTGACTGCTTCAATATTAGTCAAACTGCAAGTCATGAACAATAAACGACATCAGAAAAACAACTTGAGAAACCCAAAACTGCCGAACAGCCCTTGGGAAATATTTGTTTAAAAGAATGAAAATGTCAATACTTACATTATAGAAATAATAGGAGATAATACGAAAGATAGTAATAATGAATTATTAAATAATATATATAATATTAAGAAATAAAATACTAATAAATCAAAATTATCAGCATCACCATAAGTCATAGACTATTTACAAAGTATTTCTTTTTATTTATCCATATTGTAAATGTATTATTTTATGCTTTTGATATAGAGTCTGATTGCTTTAATATTAGTGAAACAGCGAGTCCTAAACAATAAAAGACAGCAGAAAATCACCTTGAGAAACCCAGCGCTGCCCAAGCTGCCATCAGACCCTCCGGACCCCAGCGAGTCTCTGCGGGCTACACTAGCAGGCGTCCCGTCAGCATGACCCTCGCTGCCACTGTCAGACTGACTCCTCTGAGGACTCGCTCTGCGTCCTCTTATACCCACTGTCCCCGCCTCCCCAAACAGACTCCGCCCTATTCCGCCTGGCGACGGGGGTTTAATGGCTGCCGTCAGCCTGTTGAGGATCGGGGAGCTGCCGATGGTGTCCTGCTGGCTCCGCCCACCAGCAGGCAGGAACCAATCAGCGCAGGAGAGGCAGGGAGTAGGCGGAGCCGAAAGGCGCTCCTCGATGCCGGCGTCCAGACTCTCCAGCTGAAGCAGTGTGGCTTTCACCTGATCCACATACACAGAGTCAGGAGTGGGACGTCCCACAGCAGAGGAGGCGCAGCCACCCGCCTCCAGCAGCACACACTGCATGAAGTGCCTCTGCAAACACACAAACCAGCGGAAACAATAGGGATAACGCGATACATAAAGTGAATTTCACATAGTAAACAGTAAAAATGACACATCTATCCCAACTACCAACAATCAAGAATGCATGATTATATGCTGTCATGGCTTTGCCATCAAAAACGTCCTTATAATGGAAGCAAATGGGGCAAAAACAGCCACCAACATAAGGAAAGGGTAGTCAGTTTTGAAAATTTTTAAAGCATTTTCCAAAATATGTGTCAGAATAAGATTTATCACCAAAATCATCTCATTTGCTGAAACACAGAGTAAGGTGTAGCCAGATTAAGACTCAAAATCACCCCAGAGTGGATGAAAACACCCCCAACAGCACACAAGGGTTAAAGAGGAAGTAGTCTGTCTAAAACCTGCATACTCTTCTGTCACACACTCAAAAGTACATACATTTTCATTCATTCATTCATTCAATTTCTTTTCAGCTTAGTCCCTTTATTAGTCTGGGGTCGCCGAAGCAGAATGAACCGCCAACTTATCTGGCATATGTTTTACGCAGTGGATGCCCTTCCAGCTGCAACCCATCTCTGGAAAACATCCATTCACACTCATACACTACGGACAATTTAGCTTACACGATTCCCCTACAGCGCATGTGTTTGGACTGTGGGAGGAACCGGAGCACCCGGAGGAAACCCACGCCAACACGGGGAGAACATGCAAACTCCACACAGAAATGCCAACTGACACAGCCGAGGCTCGAATCAGTGACCTTCTTGCTGTGAGGCGAACGTGCTACCCACTGCACCCCCATGCAGCCTACATACATTTTCTTCTTCTTCAAAAAAAAAAAAGTAGATACATTTAGGATGTAGTAGAATTCACAGTATACAGCTCAGTTTGTGGACAAACGCAGTAGCGCACAGTCTAAACAAGTGGAAATCACAACAGAAAAAGACGACCATTTTATAGCACTATCTTTTAAAAAAACATTTCTGCGCGTGCAGATTCTGTGTGGGCCTATTGATGAGTGTATATGAAACAGTAAATCAATACGCTTATTTCACGCGGCCGCCATTTTAAAAAACCAAAGCGAGGCTGAGGTGGGAAGAAACCCGGAAGTATAGGATGAGCACTGTAAACATTGCAGTAACATGCTGTGTACTGCAAACCTCCAGCTGTTGCTGAGATTTCAAAATGCAGAAAATGGTATAAACATCACTTTAATATTATTTAGTAAGTTTATTTTAAACAATTAAAAGCAATTTAGCATCAAACAACATCACAATCTCAGTGATACGCTTAAGTGTCCTACTAGGCTTCAGCTCAGGGCACTAGTTAAACACCGTGAGGACGCTTTCCTGCTTCAGCCTATGTGAGTGATACCTGGTGAGTGATAAAACACGACAGTCCTCTGTAGCACACCCTCGTGTTGTCTGTATTAGTGTTGTCCTGGTACTGAAGTTTTACCCGCTAACATGGAAGCGCCGCTGAGCGCGGATGACTCGACTGATCTTCACAGCTTCAATCTCCGTATATCTGTGTTTGTTTTGGACTCAGTTTACTTCTTCACCCAGTGCAAACACAGATACACAGACTGGAGCGCGAAGCAGCCGTCAAGATCAGTCGAGTCATTAAGCAGATCGCTCGGCTCGTCTGTGTTTGTGCTCATTGTACAGCGGTGGGTGAACTGATGACCTTCTCGGCCAATCACAAGCATTTCTGTTGAACACGTGAACACAATGGCAATCAGTGCTGTTTTAAGAAAGCCATCAACAGTGCCTTAAATGTTAGCGCGAAATTGCCGGGTTTTCTTTTAATTCAGTATCGTGACGAGTCTAATATAGTGAAAGAATCAGTTTATTAACTCGAGTTTGATCAATGGCATCTAAAACGTGTGTTTGGGAAAGAAAACGTTAGCTAACTAGTACCATTTCCCTTAACTTAGCTGAAAATGAGCTCTGATATCCCTTTTTACATTCACCATTCATTCAGAACGGACCTTCGGGTCACCCGGAAGGCGGAGAAATTATAAATTTGTGTCACTTTCTCTTCGCTGATAAGATATATAGCCATTTACATAACATTCCCAATGATACTTCCAGGTTTCTTCCCACCGCAGCCTCAATTTCGCTTTTGAAAATGGCGGCTGCGTGAATTCAGTCTATAGAGATCAATGGAAACCAGGCTCCCTTGTCATAAATTCCCAGAATGCTTTGCGCTATTATGACACATTTGCATTCTCTATAAGACAGCACTCTCTCACCAGGCCTACTATGAGCAGGAAGTGTCGAGCGTGCGGCTGGCAGTATCCTGGGTGTGCAGTGCTGTTTCTGGTCTCTCTGCGCTGAGGAAACACTTCTCTCCACACCACCAGCTGAGCCACGCGCTGCTCTGACGCCAGCGGCAGCAGACAGTAGTGCTGACAGTACAGACACACGTCCAGGAGATCCTCTTTCGGCAGGTGGTTCGCGATCAGATATCCCTAAAACACAGACCTCAGTCTTAGAGAGTGCAGTGGGAATACAGATCTATATAATCTAGTTCCACATTAGCAATAATATAGTGGAATAACAGTTGAAGTCAGAATTATTAGCTCCCCTGTTTGTTTTCCCCAATTTCAGTTTAATGTAAAGAAAAAAAATGTCAACACATTTCTAAACATAATAGTTTTATAACTCATTTCTAATAACTGCAACATTTTCTAAACCAACATATGATGTATAATAGTCAGTGGTGTAAAATACTTCAGTAAATGGACTTCGTTACTTTTCTTAAGTATTTTTTGGCTACTTTGTACTTGTACTGAGTATTAAAAATGTAAGCAACTTTTACTCTGTACTTGACTACATTTCTGATTGAATATATGTACTCTTTACTCCACTACATTTAAACAGACGCTTACCGTTACTCGTTACATTGTGATTGTGCGCGACAAGTCGGCATCCTTATCCACCACAGCTAATTTGTTGGGCATACGAGGCGATTATCGCCATCTGCAGGGTGCTGAAGGTATTGTATGCTATTTATGAGATTGAATTAGCAGCTTGCCTAATACCAGGTGTTTAATTAGACCATCCATGGCCTTATCTGAAAGAAAAGTTTTCATTTGCCGATATGCAGAATGGCTCTTACAGGATGCAGTGTCTACTTTGTTTGCCACGAACCACGAAAATAAGTCCTTTTAAGAATTTATCGTCAAAATTGAGAAAACACATTGAAGTAAGAGTCTATTTAATGCTAATGTAATGTGAATTTAGTGAATTTAATACAGTTACTGATATGGCAAAAACCACTGCGACATGACATGACTATTTGTGATGTATTTTTCATTGAATTTATATGTAGTTTACTAAGTTGAAAAATACCACTGCTCCTCTTTGTTTAATTTTAATACAGGGAAAACACCCTAATCAATTGAAAAGCAACACAAAATAAAAGTATTACTATTATTATTACCCCTCTTTGAGACTGAGAGGTGAATCACATGAAAGTCACCTCTGAATTTATTTTTTTTTACTATGTTTTACTACTTTTTTATTTTTTTGAAAATTGTGCCTTTTTTGAGCATTTGAGTTTGAGACTTTTTGTTCAGTTTTTTTTTAATGTATTTTGTTCTGTCATTTTCAAAACATTGGGGTGTTCAATGTAATTTCTATAGACCTTTTTCTTGGAACGCAAAATTACCCATTATGCTTTGCGTGTATGCGCAAGGAGAATGCGAAGAACTTCCGGTCGGCAGCTGATGCGTGTAAACAGTCACATTTGGACAGCTTTGAAACGATAGTTTTAATCTATTTTACCTGCTTTTATCCTCTTTGAACTAATCCTGTTGGCCATCAGCACCATCTCCTGGACTGATCATTTAAAGAAATGCGATCTAATAGGATGGAAAACAGCTGCTGTGAGGCGTTTTCCCCTCGTTGTCAGACGGCATCTTCTGCAGTTTAAATGAAGCCTCGTCATCGCTAAAGTCAACAGTTTCTCTTTATTTCAAATATATAACCAGCCCAAACAAATGTAATTCGCCAAAATGTTTGACAGACACACACGTAGCCTGTACTGTGCCACTGACACACTGATTTAATAACTGTGACAAAGTGAAAGTACAGGCTAGTGTCATTTCGACAACACATTAAATAAAACACAAACGGCTCGCGATTAGAATGAACAGCAAATCAGCCAGCAGAGGATCAATAACAGACTTTTATTGGTCATTTTTGTAAATTGTACGACTTTCATACCTGTTAAGTTTCATGCCAGTACTCTGGTTTGCTCTCTCTCTCTCTCTCTCTCTCTCTGTGTGTGTGTGTGTGTGTGTGTGTGTGTGTGTGTGTGTTTGTGTGTTAAAGAGCCGCTGAGCTAACAGCTGACAGGCTGGGAACACACAAACACACTGTATTTCTGACGGCAGACACGTGAACTAGGAGAACGTTTTTCTCGTATTTCTGACGCGCTTGAACCACATGTGACAGATTATAACGGCTTTAACAGACACATTTCTAAGTTGTGTGTCACAAAAACACCCTGTTATCCATTTAAAACGTTATTGAAACCCATTTTCGGAGTGCAAATTACCAGTTGTACACGCTGTAAACTGAAGTTTTTAGCATTCTACCGGAAGACGCTGGTCGCTATGGCGCCCTCCATGCAGCAGCCATGAAAAAGGTCTATATTAGGAAATAAAAACCTTTCTTGGTGTTCTTCGAGCCTACATTCAGAATGAGTAAAATACTTAAGTTCTTTAAAAATCCGATACTTTAATACTTTTACTCAAGTCTTATTGGAATTGGTGACTTGTACCTTGTAATGGAGTAATTTTTACAGTAAGGTATCTGTACTTTTACTCAAGTATGGTTTTCAGGTACTCTTACACCTCTGATAATAGTTAGTGATGTGCGATACCCCTAATTTCCTATCCGATCCGATACCAAGTAAAATGAAGGCGAGTGTCGGCGATATAGATTCCGTTTGGGAAATTTAAGTAACAAGCAGTGTACTTAAAAGTGTCACTTTAAACTGAATACGAGCCATATATTACGGGTTATTCTTGTTTATTGATGAAGAATTATCATACAAAAAAAGCCAACTTACATATTTATTGACAGCATCTGAGCATGTATATCTTAAAACACCTTAAAAAACATTCACACTTCTACATTTAGTGGCATTTTAATCCAGTTCCCATGAAAGTGTTTTAAACCTTTTTTCATTGTTTTATCAGTCACAAAAAACCCAAGACCCCTAATACAGCCACATCGCAGCATTTTCTCCCTCTGTACCTGGATGGTGCCTGCCTGCTTCACCTAATGACTCTGAAAGCGATGTTTGTCTCGCCCCAGCAGCACTTGTGCCTCTCCTTTTCTCCTCTTCTGACTGCCTAGTCGTGACGTTGTCATATTCTGTCTTGTGATTTCTATGTAGATTTTTGATTAGGTTTGTAGTATTACCACAGTACCTCACTGTTTTGTTACCGTGTCACAAACAGCGTCGTTTGAGTTAATGGAAGTAAAGTAGCTCCACACATAACTTCGCATGTGCCAGGCCAGGCCAGCCGACTGAGTGGCTAACTAGCGTGATCTGCAGTTGTACAGTGCCATATTACGCACATGACTTTGCAGGCGGAAGAACAAGTAGTTCCGATTAAGTTGGCATTATTCAGAGAAACTAGGGCAATTGTAGTTACTTTCCGCTGTGTTTCTACTACCTTTAAAATACATATTTGCTCTAAATTTATGAAATATTGATATTTTGATGAGATAATCGATTCTAGAATATCATAAAGCTGGTATCGGAGATATCGGTATTTTATTATCGATCCGCACATCACTATTAATAATATATACAAGAGGTTCAACACTCACCTTATAAAACAGACAGGAGCCCAGAATGACGTACAGACGCCTCATGCCGTAGAAATCCTCAGACTGACCAATGACAGAACACACAGACAGGGTTATTTTAGCATCACTGGCATATTACAACTTCTACAACATGCTGAATTAGCTTTCGTATCAATTTCTTTTTATTTTATATTAATTTATTTAAAGTTTTAGTGTTGTGTTTTTATTCTTTCTAATGCTAATGTTGTTTTTAGAACACTTTAATGAATGTTTTTTGTCATTTTAAAACTGCAAATAAGATATATTTTTTTAATGTTACATTGATTTGGTTGCTTCTTAGATTTACATATTATAGTTTCTAAAATATGCTGGGATAGCTCTTTTAATTGACTTCATTTTCATTCATTCATTTCGACTTTTTTTTGGCTTAGTCTCTTTATTAATTTGGGGTCGCCACAGCGGAATGATTGTTTGGAATGATGTTTCACACAGCAGATGCCCTTTCAGCTGCAACCCATCACTGGGAAACACCCATACACTCCCAGTCACTCACACACATACACTAAAGCCAATTTAGCTAACCCAATTCACCTGTACTGCATGTCTTTGGACAGTGGGGGAACCCGGAGCACCCAGAGGAAACTCACGCGAACACAGGGAGAACATGCAAACTCCACACCAGCGACCTTCTTGCTGTGAGGCAACAGTGCTACCCATTGCGCCACCGTGCAGCCTGATTTAATCTTATATTCATTTATTTACAGTTGTAGTCATTTTTTTGCTGTGTTTTGTTCCTTCTAATGCTAATATCGTTTTATTAATACTTCATTTTTAGTCATTTCAAAATAGCAAATAGGATTTCTTATTAAATATTACATTGTTTATTACTTTTTAGGTTTACATATTATAGCTTTGAATATGCGGAAATAGCATTTATATTAGCATTTTTCTTTTTTAATTTGTTTAATGTTCTGTTTTTTTCTGTTAACATATTTTTTTTTTTATAATATTTTCAATTATATTCAGAAACTGTACAGGTACTGTAACTTTTAGGTAAACACTTAAAAAAACTTAAATTTAAATGCTATTTATATGTTATGGTCTAAATTAAAAATGTTATGGTTAGTTCATCCTGCCTGGCATTGTAGGTGGAACATAAAAGGGGAAATTTGCATTTAAATGATGTAAATATTCTTCCATTACATGCAACCAAATTCATTTTAGCATGTTTATTATTAATGTACTAAACGCTAAATAATTTCTTATTTTTACATTTGCAGTTTTCATTTCGTTGTGATTTGTAATGTGCTTTTTGGACGTCCCGTGTTCTCCAGCCTCAGGTATATAGACTGCAACTCAAACTAACCTGAACTAAAATGAACTTCAACACTGAAAACTGGACTGACACGGTTTCAGTTTACTAGAACTTCTATGTAAAGCTGCTTTGACACAATCTACATTGTAAAAGCGCTATACAAATAAAGCTGAATTGAATTGAATTGATGACACTGACACTTTGATTGACATCAGTACTTGCTTTTGAGGAATGAACTATCTATTTTAAGCATGTGACGCGCTTTTGCAGGTTTTCAGCTAGGTTTTGCAGTTTGTACTAATTGTTTTGAGAAATGCATTAACTGTTGTGCAGAAATGCACTGGTGCTGTGAGAAACGCACCAAAGCGACTGAGAAAAACTGTAATATGATTTTATTTAGCTTTTTTCGATTATTTATTTCCAGAATTATTCAGCATCCTCACTCTAGACATCACAATCCTAAAAAAAAAAATCTAAATTTTTCCATAGACTAGGCAGTTATTTGAGCACAATAGCTCATCTTACCATGTCCCCGAAATCTGACGACTCAAAGTCTGACAGGACGGTGTCCACTTCAACCTGCAGAACAGTCGAAACACTAATAAGTGTCACTTATTAAACATCACACATCAGTGTGAGTAAAAACCCAGATAATCTTCAAACCAAGTTCTTTTTTGTTCTTTATTTGAGGACAAAAAGATGTTTGAAAAGGCGGAGTGACGGTACACTGTTTCCAAAACCTGCACTGGGTGGTTTGTAAAGTAGCAATTGTCAGGAGTGTTGTAACTCGGGGGCGCGGGGAAGCATGACTGAGAGCATATGGCCCTGTAAGGATGTAAGGAGTCCTGTAATATTATTGTTGTGATGGTGTGTGATACTGTAAGGGGGCCCAACCTCGACCTAATCAAACCCCCACCATCCCCCTGCTCTTTAAATTTAATGTAGCAGAGCTGGCGCAGATATATCCGCACCTGTACTACCATTTGCAAAGAGATTTTAAAGACTCCACAGACAAAACATTTGCTTTGGTGAGCTGTTGTGAACTGCTGAAACAAACTCGAAATGAACTTCCGAATCTGCAGAGATTTTTGCAAAAAAAAAAAAAAAAAATCGGCGTTTTTCTGCAGAATGATTTTGGATTTTGTAAATCGCGTGCAGAGCGCTTCAAAAGAGTCAAGCATAGCAATCAAATACCACTGTCAAGCACATATTTACATTGAAAAACAATTAAAAAGTAGTGCGTTTAGAGAGGAAAAACGCATTCTGTGTGTCCCTTTAAATTCAAATGACTTATGTGATCCACGCCGTCTTTTAAAAACAAGGCGGAGCTACAAATGCCTATGCATCAGAAAAGCAACAGATTCAAAACAGGACTAACGTTATCTGTGAGAAGAACTGAAAGTGTGTGTCTCAGAATGTGTCAGTGTAGAGAGACTCCTGTCGCTGTTCATTTGTGCTTCTCACTCAGGGCTGATTATGCTAACGAGGGAGAGATGGTCACTAGTGGGCGGGGCTTTTCCACTCTGATGACACGTACAAAGGGAGAATGTCAATCAAAGCGTTTCTGCAGACTGTTTATATCAAGAGTGATTATAAACAAAGAGAATTCATTGATTTTTATTATTAGAAGCTGGATATATTCACACACTGCTGACACACAACTATATTTAAACCCATTATAAGCATGATATTTGCATAATAGATGCCATTTAACTAATCATAAAAGAGACCTACCTTTATATCCGGGGGTAAGGTGAGCCAGCGGACAGCCGGCAGTCCGTCTAAAAACAGCGACCCGTAGAGGTCTGGTGTCCTGGAGCTGTGGATCAAGCGCGAGGGCTGGATGAGCTGCTGAAAGAAGAGGCAGAAGAAATGATCCAGACGAGGAGCGTTTTCCACATCGCTGAAACCTCTGGAGAGACACACAGTTCACAAACACTGATCATTTGATAAGTAAGAGAAAGTCTTATTTGTTTTATTTGGGCTACATTAAAATCAGTTTTTAATTGTTTTAAACCGATTTTAAGGTCAATATTATTAGCCCCTTTAAGCTATATTTGTTTTGGATTGTCTACAGAACAAACCACTGTTATACAATGACTTGCCTAATTACTCCAACTTGCCTATTTAACCTAGTAAAGCCTTTAATTGAATACTCACTTTAAGCTGAATACTAGTATACTGAAAAATATCTAGTCAAATATAAATATATATATATATATATATATATATATATATATATATATATATATATATATATATATATATATATATATATATATATATATATATATATATATATATATATATATATATATATATATATATATATATATATATATATATATATATATATATATATATATATATATATATATATATATATATATATATATATATATATATATATATATATATATATATATATATATATATATATATATATATATATATATATATATATATATATATATATATATATATATATATATATATATATATATATATATATATATATATATATATATATATATATATATATATATATATATATATATGTATATATATATATA